ATGCTGTATCTTGACTGGGCTAACATATCAATCCAAGGGGAAGCAATTTGGACGACTTGTAACTACCTACTAAGGTACTCGAAGCCCTAAAAGGCCGAAACTAACCTGTTACAAACAGCAAGGACTACGTTTACGAGAAGAGAGCTGGAGAGGGAGTACATTTGTATGTTTTGGATCATGGAGTACAGGTAGATGTCAAAAAGGTAGTGACTTACCTCACATACGTCGGTGACATCGCTCTAACCCGACTTCAGGAAACCGGCGAAAAAGTGTTTCCAGGATTCGACAACGAGCAGGACAATAGCGGTATCGTAGAAACAAGAGCTTTCACCAACCAAAATGATGCGCACAACATTCGATACGACCATTCCCCTAAAGGCCACGGAACGAAAGTAGCGTCCAAAATCGTTGGGCAGTGGGGAACCGCAAAGGGAGCGACACTGGTGCCGGTGCAGGTCAAACCGGGCGGAGACGACATTCACAACGGGTTCGAAAGGATTGTTGCAGATGTAATCAGACGGCGCAGGAAAATACCAGGGTTTCAAGCTGTAAGTGCGACCAACAACCGACGCCATCGACGCATGTTTACTGTTCTGGACCAAGCTTATGGAGTATACTAACGTCACGTGACTTTCAGGTTGTCGTTATGAGCAGCGGCACAGAACGCGCCGTCGGAGACAATGGTTACAAGAGCTACACACAAGAAGAAGCAGAGAACGATTACAGAGCAAAGCAACAGATTCGCTGGATAAAGCAGTTATTCAGTTACGGGGTCCCCGTGGTGCTCGCTTCGGGTAATGAAACCGAAACTGAAGGCCGAAAAGTCATCGACCATTTCCCCCAGGTCTTGGAGACAGATGACTTTCCCATTATCAACGTCGGGGCTGCCACGCTTGCAGGCAAAGCTGCACCTTTCTCGCAAGGCCTGGGTACCCAGCAAGATCCAGAGAAGCGCACACAGTTGACCATCTACGGTGTTGGAGTGGATGTCGACGTCCACGATCAATATGACGGTGCAGCAACGCAGGATTCGGGTACGTCGTTAGCTGCACCGGCGGTGGCAGGCATTATTGCTACACACATGAACTACGAATCCTGGGACCAGAGCAAGCAAGGACCCGACCGAGTGAAAGAAATCAAGAGATGGATAACCACACCTGAGTCGAGCTGGGAGCGTGCCAAAGATCCCGACAAGCAAGTCAACATGGTAAGAACGACGGCAACAGAATCCGAAGTTAGTAAGGAAGCTGACAGTCCGAACAGATCTGGAACGGCGCCGACAAAGCAGCCCACGACAGCGTCTCCAACAACTAGTCGCCCAGCCCATCCCCTCAACCCCAAAAGCGCACCTTCACCGTCGGCCTCGAACAAACCACGACCCCAGAATGCTCCAGCGTCATCTCTGACCCTGATTTCCCCCCACATGACAGCTGCAAATTCAATTACCAGAACCGATACTTCTTCTACCGCCGCGACGACGACAACCAAGAACCCGACAGCCTTTGCACCTCTCTACTCAACGACTTCCACCAAGACGATCAAGGCGCGACGACTGATGAGAATCTATTCGAGCATCCGACGTGGCCGGCGGGAGAGTGGACGCTGAATCTCTTCGGCGAGGAATTTGTCTACAGGAATGATGGGCAGAGTCCGGGAGCGCTATTCAAGGGCGAGCAGCAAATTAGTTGCGCCGGTGATCTGGAAAACCATGGTAAGTCTGAGAGTCCGGAGTGGGGAGTGGTGACTGTGCGCTTTGATCTTTTGCTAACAGATATCATAGATCCTCTGTCGGATGAATTGTGTGAGAACAGTCTGACCAAGGAGGATGGGAGGAAGAGGAAACGGAGACGGCTGGTTGGTTGCACGTGGTGAGTGCATGTGTGGTCGTGGCAACGACATGGGTACCTCTTTCTGTCGTTCTATTCTTTGCGTCTCTATGTAGAGTTCTGGGCTATGTTTTTCCCTACCATATCTTCTAGGACTGGGGCCCGTCCAGTCGGACTGATGTCACTCTTTCACGCTCGTACTCGTTTCGACGTCCTTTATTGCGGATATCCCCAGTTCCGTAAACCAATAGCAACCACGTGAGCCTGAGAAGAGGCGATGATGGGCAGTCTTTACGGGAGGCGAGTTCGCAAGCACATGCTATGTACCAGCATGCTTCTATTGCTCAGCCAGGTCTTCCATTTCCAGATGCTTTTGTCTCCGATGCTATATGTACAGCCAACTCAGGTGCCAGGCATATCTTCCGCTCACTCCTGCTGCGACATGTGTGTCGGGAAGTTGTAATCCGTATAATCGATATGTACAAACGCGCGATCAACGTACGGCACACTCTCTGTGTAGCTGTTAGATTACAACTCCGTAAAGATAGAGAAGAAGGATGACTTACCAAGCACATACTGCAGACTCTCACCCAAGTCATGGCTATCCCTCAAACTAAGATTCTCATCAACCACAATATCGACCTCGACATTCAGCTTATCGCCCGCATGGTAAGCCTGCAGACCCTGAATCCTCTTGATGGATTTTGCAAAGCGCATCGTCATGTAGAGAAGGATGTTGCGCTCATCCGCCGTTGCGCTGGCACCAGTCAGGTTACGGATGTGTTCTGCAGAGGTAGCACTCCAGTTGATGATAACATAAGCGGAGAGCAAGATACCGCCGAGCGAGTCGAGCCACCAGATCTTGGCGAAGTAGCCTACAAGGGGGAACAGGATGGAGAAGGTGTTGAAGACGACGTCGGTCATGGCGTCTTGGGCTAGTGCTTGGACGGACGAGTTGCGGATGAGACGGCACCATAGCCAGCAGAGGCCTTTGATGACGACTGTAGCGGCCATGATGGCCACGGCTGGAATGGTCAATTGCACGATTGTGCGGTCGGGTCCAGTGAGGCGGGAAATGCCCTCGATGCCGACTTGGAAGAAGGATGTCATCATGATGACGGAGAAGATGAGTACGCCGATGGGTTCGAGACGGCGGCGGCCGACTGGGTAGGCGTAGCGGTCTTGACGCGCGATCATCCAGGATGTGAACCATACGATGGCCGTGGACAAGAAGTCGAGGGCTGCGTCGACCAAACTGGCGACTACGGAGAGGGACGAGGTGAGGACTGTGACGACGATCTTCATGATCAGGAGGGCTGTATTTGCGCTGAGGTTGACGTATAGTGCAAGCTTGACAATGGGGCTCTCGGTGTCTTCGTCTTCTTCGGGGACCCAGTCCTTCAGCTTGGAGTTTGCAACCTCCAGGTCTTCTTCGTCTTCTACGGCCTCGTCGTGTGCGAGAAGAGGCGTGTTTTCGTCTGCTTCGGGGACTTTGTAGAGGTTCTTTGGTGTGCGCTTGACCATGGGCTTTTGCGCGCCATTGCCGTTGAGACTGCCTGATGAACCACTTCGCCCGTTCTCACTATAGTATCCGGGTGTGTTGGTGCCATTTGTACCAGCGGGGGTAACAGCGAGGGGAGAAGTCGAAGCCGAAGACTCTTCCCTAATGGTTGAGGGAATCTTGACGGCGCCGGATTCCATGTTCGTGTACTCTTGGATGAGGTTGTGCGGGAGGGAGGAATCGAGTAGACGGTCGATGTATAGGTAGTGCTGCAGGAGCTGGTTGTTGCGCTCGTAGTATTCGCGGATCGGCTTCTTCATGCCCTTGAGCTCTTCCTCGGATTTGTAGTACTTCTCCCACTTGTACCGGGGATTGGAGTTGCCAATCAGCCGCTGGCTCCTCATCTGCGGCGTGTTGAGCACATGCGCGCCTATGCTGCTCCTCCGATCGGAGTCGCGGTCGTAAGGCATCACGAGCCCGTTCCTGTATGCTTCCAGGTCTTCATCGTCTGTGTCGCTGCCCCGGCGCTCACTGCTGCGTATAGTGGACGGTCGACGTGCGCTGTTGAGTAGCGAGGGGAGGTGGTGCCCGCGCGTAGATATCGCCGAAGCATCGTTCTGCAGCGGGAGGAAGAGCTTGGAGCTGGCCAGGCGCGGGAGGCTCGAGGAGCGTGGGACTGTCACCGGAGAGGGCGACTTGGGCGGTGGTGTGGAGCCATAGTCTGTCATGGCTGCGATTGGAATGCAGTCGCTCGAGAGGCGTGATTAGAGGGCCAATTCCTTCGAATCAAGTTCCTGCGCGTCGACGCGACAAAGACAATGAGCCAACCTGGTGTCGTTCTCTTATCGCTATGGCGCACTGCGATTGACTACGGGAAAAGACTTGAACGGGTAAATGCGCGCGCCAGCCAAACAGACTTGAGATGAAAAGCGCGGCGATGCGAAGAGTTAAAAGAAGATGCCGTGAAGCACTTCAGCCGGTGTCAACGCCCAAGAGACATGACCAACCGTGGTACCGCCGACGCGTGCGCGATTGCGACGAGTAGGTTCGCCGAAACAAGAGGGTCCTGGTTCGGAGACGGGATCGACATTTCTGAGGCCCAGAATCCTTGCGCCTGCATCCACTTTAGCTGTGGCCATAGCGCCACACTAGCAATCTGGGGTCGAACAGCCGAGACATCGCTGCAAGATTTTGGCTATAGTTTCGTGTCTTATGTTTCACGCAGTCACATTGAGCCCCTCTGCAACATTACTTTCATTCGCTTGTCATCTGGAATCTCCCGTTGGGACCTGACCTCATGAAGTTGAGCCTTCTGGCCGTTCTGTGCCCATTTTTTGGCGGGGACCCACACTGACCGGCAGTCTCAAGTAATGTACTCATCCCCACGCCGGTACAGTAGCGCCGTTCCAGGTCTCAAACTCCTGTCTTGGCTGTCTATCATCTTCAAAGGTCGGCGCCAAATTTTGAACCCTTGACACGAATGTCTTGGTCATTCATCAGTTCTAGACTCTAGTGTATACCCCAGGAAGGCTTCCCCACTTCTTCACCACATGCAGAGAAAAGTTGAACACCTGCCTCCTAGACATCTGCTTTACCCTGGGATCCTCTGAACTTGAGTTTCCATAGTAGTGAAGATGGCCGCGCACCTGTTCAGTCTTTTTCCTCATGTGCGCTTACTCCTCCTCAGACTCTTTCGCTGTGGTCGACGCATCTTGCGCACACATCTCGATGAGTCCGGTGAAGATGTACGGCTGATCGCGAACGCGCTTTCGACAGTGCTCGGCGTCTTGGACTAGGTGCTCGTGCAAGATGCAAGCATTGGGCACAGCGCCCTCGAATCGAGACGGCATACGATCCGGCAACCTTTTATGCTGGAGCCTCTGGTTCTGCACAACCATAACGTCGAAAGCAAAGTCTTCGTTCAGCTCTCTCAGTATACGCAATTTAGTAGCGCTACAGTTTCCATCCTGAGAGAGCCAAACGTAGGCCGTGGACAAGACGAAGAAGCGAATGAACTTAGAGGACGACGGCAGCATTGCGTACGCAAGTTCAATTACTCCCTGTTCAAGATCAGGCCACCCATTCCATGACATTGACTGTGAGACCATGGCAGTCAACACGTCGTCGCGTAGTTGGGGGACGTTGTACTTGTCGGCGAAGGCGTAGAGACGCAGAAACGAAAGCAGCGACAAGCGGTATCCTTCGACCCATTCCGGATTCTTGAAATACAGCCTAACCAGATCTTTGTTAGATATTGACAGGTTACGGTCGCCCGCCTCGTCAAGTGCTAGTGTGGTGTTACGAGGCGGGTGCAGCTCTGTAGGACTCATGGCATTTATGTCTGCACTCTTTGCTGTTGATCTTCGGATCAGTATTTCATGTTTCGGAAAAGTAGCGCCGCTTGGCCGCTGGTTGTTCTGGGTCTGTGTCCACTGTAGAAACATGCGGAAAGTCTGTTCGGTGACGTCTGTCAGGGATATGGAGCGATCGGTAGCCTCCACGAAGGGGCCCTCGAAAGCGCTGCGAAAGTAAGGTGAGACAGCCGACAAGATATCGCGGTAGACGGTGATGTCGACTGATGTATCTGCTTTGCCAACGTGCACGGTGACTGTGTCGAGATCCATGGTCCTGTCATGATTGTTAAAATTGTCACGGATGTCATATTGATGGGCCTTACAGGAAGTTCAGCGCCATGATGGCGACAAGATGTGATCAAGCGTCACTGTGTGCTCTAGAGCAGAAAGAAGATGTTTAGAGTGTGGGATAGAATGCTGGTAGGTGAGGGTGAGTGTGAAAATAGTGATGAGGAAGTTGTAGTTGAAAAAGTACCGTGGATACCGTTCCAAAACCGACATCATCGACCCAACCAGACCATGGACATTTGATACCGCTGATAGAACCGTGATTTCAAGGTGTAGCTTACTAACCGTACCAGAGCAATCTAGCTCCTCCTCCACATGTACCAGAACCACGTAATGAGTCCCTGAGACAAGTACCTAGTCCCCGCTTAGCTCTACCGTCTGTATGCCCCAACAAATTCTTCTCCTGCAAAACACATTACATCCAATCACATCCTACACTCACGATGCTGCGTCCCATCAATCCCCATGATCCACTCCGACTTTGCCGCCACCAGCCTCGCCCCTTCCTCATCGAGCATACAGCCTGTCCAATGATCTACAACCTCATTTTCATCTAACCATTGATCAAACCTGCCTTCCGCATCGGCTTTTTCTATCTCTTCCTCCGTCGTTTCATCCCAAACCCAATATAAGCTGTATCGATCTTCTATTGCCAACGTGTCGTACACGAGGGTGTCGAGCCACGCTCGCGTGGCGGCCACTTGGGCTATGTTCTTAGGGTCTTTTGCGTAGACTGCATAGCGTTTAGGAGGGGCGAGGTGTGCTTTGACCGCGCGGAGGCGACGAGTGGCTGTTGTTTGAGGAGGAGGAGAAGATGATTCCGAGGCGGTGTTTTGGTTTGGAAGTTCAAGTAGGGTGGCAGCTGCTGTTGCATGGGAGTTTTGTAGTGCTGCTTTTTCTACTCTCACTCAGCGACACTATCTGGAAGTATACGGGAATTATGAGCAGCTCTCGTACCTTGCACATGTTTCGATTCCATATCTGCGGTACGTGGTTATGCGACCAAGTTTATGAAGTGTTCGTGGAGCGATTATTGTGATAGGACGCCTGGTTGCAAGATATCAATTGCTGAGCTCGGCTTGTGAGGTAGTTCTCGCATTAGTATAGTCAGTAATAATAGCAGATACAGTCCCGACTCCTAAGATGACCGTCTCAGTGCACCATTCCTTTCCCTGAGAAGTAATGTGAAAAGCGGGGGAGGCGTAGTCAACTGTAGTAGAGTCGCATAATTGGATGCTGAGCCGTTTCTACTAATCAGAACTTGGCTGATAGGTCAAAGGATGCATCAGATGCCATGATACAGTCTGGTATGGCGCTCTGCGATTTTGCGCAATGTTGGCTATGCATGTTAGTTCAGCGCGGCCAAGCCGCAGAGCCGAATTGCGAAGTCAGACCAAACCCGCGAAGCACAGCGCAGGAAACTGTTCTTGCTACAAGACTACATATTTCGCTTGAGACTCCAGCCCTGCTGCGCACTCGAAAGATCTAGAGCAGCGAAATGTCGATGTTGCAGGTCAGCGCACCTGCGCGTTCGAGACGGCAACGACGCTAAAGCCCCGCTAGCGCGCCCAACACAGACTAGCCGTTTCTGCTTGCCGCCCGCCAAGCGCACCAACATCGATCAATATTCCTGGCTTTTTTCCGACATCGACAACACCTTTCGACATCCGACTACTCACAACAAGCAGTCAAGATGCCGGTATGATATCACCGCCCGCGGTTGCGACGCACTGCAGGGCCACTTACTGACGCTTTCGCAGTCCCAAAAGTCCTTCCGCACCAAGCAGAAGCTTGCAAAGGCGCAGAAGCAGAACCGCCCCATCCCCCAGTGGATTCGCCTGAGGACCGGCAACACCATCAGGTACGCTCTACCCACGATCCGCACGCTCTCGCCGCTTCCGATCCCCGTCACTAGAGATTACAACGACACGATAATATGATGATGAGAGCACGAGACTGACATTCCGCCCACAGGTACAACGCCAAGCGCCGACACTGGCGCAAGACTCGTCTCGGTATCTAAGCGTATCGCCCCCGACGAACCATCCCTCACTCGATTCTCGATTCCCAACTACTCCTTGTTACTGCGCCGACAACCTACCCCACACGAAACGAGCGACTACATTGGGAATTTCGCACATGGCGGGAAGCGAGCGACCAGTCTTCTAAGCGAAGCACGTCTGCAAACGAGGGATGCTATGGGTGGTGTTCTTTTCACGTTACCGGATACCTACCTACTTCTCATTCATGGCGCTTTGGGTCTGTAAATGGGAATGAAAGGAATCGATTCATGATGGTTTAGATCTGAGCAGTGCTAAATGGAAACACTTGCTGGGTCACAACGAATGACTTCTGGTGTGCTGATGATCGTGATGTTGTGCGCGCAATATGATCCCAGATGCGTCATGTGTGACGAGCGTCGCTTTTGTTATGGACTGGGCACTCGCACTCCCAACGCGGGTTGGCACTAAACTCCATTTCAGGCTCATTGTCACATCTGGCCTGAGAAGACCACACACGTACGGCGCTCTTGTGAAGGATATTGACTACATTGCTTCAACTGTATTCCGCGATGACCCCCGCGATATTGATTTAGCCCCATTGCTTAGCCTTTCGATAACACCACCCCACACAAGGAAAGACCCGACAAGTCTACAGACTACACTAGGATAACACAGGCAAGTTGGAAAATCTGGCGTCCATGTAGGCTCCAGGGTTCTTAGTCTTCTCATTGATTGAGGCGACTTCTTGGAGAAACCGTTCTACGACGATCACCTCCGCGCGTAAGGTTTCTTTGGAGCGGCCGGCAACAATCGCCGTTGAAACGGTAACGGTAAGCGTCTCAGTATCAGCCCAAGGCGGTCTCTGTCGTACGTCCGATCGGCCTACGGATGGCCACATTAGCGAACATGCCTCGGAAAGCAAGCCACCTCAGACAAGGAAAGCCCCAAACAGGTCTGCAGACTACACTATGATAGGAGCAAACGAATCGGAAGATTTGTAGGCTCCGGGGTGTTTAGGGGTTTCCCCGTATAAGGTGAAGCCCTCATGTCGACGTTCTCTGACCCATCACCTCCCACTCCTCACCTGGAACTTGGGTCGCTGGGTCAGATCCACGATCAAACAAGTCTCCTCGCTCTTGCCCGCTGTCTCATACAGACTGACGACACCCTTCTCGATCTTTATCACCGTACTGCTGCCTGCATAGCAGACGCCCTTCTCCATTCCACACCGATTCGCCATGATGATATAGATGGGTTTATCCCCCTTGGCCTCAACAAGCGGTTGGAAGCGCTCAACCCAGTACGCTACCGTCGCTATATCTGGCTGCGATGGCTCCTGTACAAGTTCCGCAGGCGTGAGATGACATAGCCAAGCCATGCTTATGCAAACAATGGGGGATTGTGATGTAAGAGCGAGAGTAGAGAACTCGTAGTCAGCCCATGGGGAGACAAACTTGTAAGGATTTATATCCATACATATCCCCATGGTAACCTTCCCCAGGCTACCGAGTTGGCCGGCATAGAAGGGAGAATCTGGCGATGAGGGATTGGATAGTTTATGCGACTTCGAGCCCGGTCCTTCAGATGCCCATGTCTCGTCTGTGTAGTAAAGAAAGGATTTCCGGTAGTTGTTTAGTATTTCTCCATCTGGCGATACAGTGACGGTGGAGTTGTACTGCGTTTGACTGTCCGCGGGATTGGTGGCTGGGGTGGTGATTTCTGGGTAACCGACTGTGACGTGGCAGTTGTAGTGTTTTGCTACTTTCTGTGCCCATTGGGTTGAGATGCCGGATGTGGTAGGCTCGAGGAAGGGTTGGATCTCCTCCAGAGATTGGAAGTTGTACCCAGAGAAGGCGAGTTCGGGGAGGACGAGCCAGGCTAGGTCGTGAGGAATGGCGGTGGACTGGAGGATGCGTTCTGCTCTTTGGATGTTTTCTGGGACGCGCCCGACTTCTGGGGCGAATTGGAGACAGGCGACTTTCATGTTTGCAACTCTCTTGGGTTTGTTTGAATGAACGGATCCTGGTTACGTCCGGGACTTCGGCGTAGAATTTTGAGGCTGTCTGGGGTTTTCGGAAGGCTGCTAAGAGAACACTTGTATCTTGTGCCTGAATCAGTCGAGACTGATAGGCCGAATAGTTGCTATCTTCCCGTGCGGCTGGGAAGTACCGACTGACGCTACTTAGGCACCAAGCACTGGTTGACTTGTCGTGACAGATGGCTACGAAGTCTGATTGGTTACCAAAAGTGAAAAGGGACCGATTGCGGTAGGATTTCAAGGGAGCGTCAGGCGAGTACAGTAAATCAAATGTCGCGCTGTTGAGGGTATAGATGCAGCTGGCTGCCCCACTAGACGATCAAGACCCTTGTCGGCTATGATGGCCAGCCAATCGCGCCATTTCCGCACTCCAGCCTAACCCCATCCGGCTATGACGCGCATAACTTTCGATGGCCTCACGAGAGCCTCCGCAGCTTACGCAAAGCTACAGCACCCCTCGTCATGTGTCGCGCCTCCCGGTAGCCCTTTCATCCGATCGAAATGGCAGGTAGACGGCTTGTCGATGCCGCCAAGCTCTTCAATGCCTCCAAATCTGTCGCACAGAAGCACGTCGCGCTTCGCTCTAATCAGTGGGACGCTTACAACAAAACCTCGTCCCTAGCCAAAGCCGTCAAGAACCAGACGGACCGCGTCACCCTCACGGCAGCCGCTGCCATCGCCCTCTCACAACGCTTCAGCGAAGAAGCTCCCTCGTACGCAAAAGCCGCAGCCGAGCGGGCGACGAACACACAATGGACACAGCAGGCGGATATACCTAAAAGAGACACAGTACAGGGGAATGCACCAGTGGAGGGTGCTAGGGAGGGCGTAGATCAGGATCACCACTACGATCGATCGGGTCAAAACAGCTCTCAGGCGCCTCCGCCCACAGAAGAATTGGAGGTCGAGCAGAAGAAGGCCCCCAGATCCCCGCTACCAGACGGCACCATACCAAGCCAAGGGTTGACACTCGAACAAGAGAAACAGGGCAAGGATGTGTTCTCCGAGAGG